ATGGTTTAGGGTTTAGGGGGGTAGCCTCCGTTTCTTTGGATTGTCTTTTTTCGTCCCTTCATTCCCCATGAACAACCAGCAAGTTCGCCCAAGAGCCAAACCCAGTACATCGGCTGTGAACCCTCAGTTTCCATTTCACTCTCCATTTTCTTTGCCATTTGATTTTCCATCTGAATGTCCATTCTTTATTCACTCGGGCCATGAACCCTAACCCGGAAGACCCAGAACCCTAAACAGGTTACCTGCAACCTGCACTTGATGCGATCCCAGGCGCGGCGCAAGGGTTTCGAGTTTAGGGTCTTAGTTCCTAAGGGTTTAGGGTTTAGAGTTTAGGGTCTTAGGGTTGTTTTGGTGGCAAGGGTGGTGGGGCTTACCCTGTTCCCAAGTAGGATGGAACCTGAAAACGGGCCATTCGTAGACTACTGTGTGGCAGTTTTGGCCGGTGAGGGTAAGGCCCTAAACCATAAACCCTAAACCCCTAAACCCTAAACCCATAGGGTTTTTCCTGAGCCCTGAAAGTTGTGTTGGCGTCCTGAGAGTTTCGAGTTTTTGGATTAAAGTTTTTAGGGTATGCTCCATCGTTGATTTGGTGGTGGAGGATTGAAGGTAAGGGCTCTAGGGTCGCAGGGTCACCCAAAACCCTAAGCGCACACTAAACTCCAAACCCTGAATCGTAAGCCCTGAGCCCCGGTAGCATCTGGGCGGGATCTCAAAATCATGGTTGTTTTTGCTGGTAGCGTGTAGGTTACGCATGGGCGCCTTGTGCAGGGATTGCAGAGATGTTGACTGGAAGCCTGACTAAATGCAGCTGGGCTTGAAGTTTAGGGCTGAAGGTGCATGGTCTTAGGATCTACCATGGTTTTCCGCGGTTGCCTTGTTTAGTATAGAAACCTGAGGAGCTACGAATGAAAATGGGGTTCCATGAAAGTAGATATGGTGCGCATGTGTAGCGATATTCGTGAGATACTATGTGATTCTTGAAGGTTACAAATAAAAGCACCGTTTCAAACCGAAACCGTTTAAACCGGCATGTATGCACCTGAGAGTCACGTACCCGAACAGAACCAGGTGTCTATCCCCTTAGACCCACCCTAAACCTAAGTTAGGGTTAAGGGTTTCGAGGGGGTTAAACCCTAAACCCCCAAACTTTAAACCAACCCCTTAAGTATGTGGCGTTCCAAACAAAGCCAGGCTGACCTTTTGTCTCAACTCTGAGACAGCTCTTTTCTATCTGCACAGCTTCTAGGGTTTTGGGGTTTAAAGTTCAGGGTCTTGGGGCTTACGTAAAGTTCAGGGTTTTGGGTTGAAAGTTCATGGTTTGGGGGTTTAAAGTTCAGGGTTTTGTAGTTTGAAGTTCAGGGTTTTGGCGTTTCAAGTTCAGGGTTTAGGGTTCAGGGTATAGTCAATTAGGTCGCACCTCAAGTGCTCTTCAGGACTTCTGTTTCGAGTCTCTGGCACCAGGAGGCCTCTGATCCCCCACACTCCGCTTCGCCCAAGACTTCTCGAAGCCCAAATTCCCAACCTTGACGCCTAAACCCTGAGCCCTAAGCCCTCAACTCCAAGCCCTACAAACCCTAAAACCCTAAACCCCTAAACCCTAAGCCCTAAGCCCTAGACCCTAAACATGCTTGTCGGTTTTCGCCTGGCTCTTTAGCATTGTGAGTTTCCGATTATATTGCATTGGGGGAAAGAAGCTCAACCTTTATCATCCGAAATTCAGCTGAGAACCCAAAACCCCAAATTACCTCCAACCCAAAACTGGGCTGCAAACCCTGAACAAAACGCAAAGCCCACCACCCCAAGACTCAAACACCTCATTTCCAGAGGCGCCGCCACCGCCTCCGCCGCTGCTCCAGAGGCCGTAGGGTTTACGAACATACGAAGCATCCGGGTCCCAGGTTTTTTTTTTCCTA